AATGCAGCCATCATTTGGGTGGAGTGTGCGGCAACCACTTGTGGTAGTTTCTTGTTTCTGAATCTAAAGCAAGTATTTATGCAACTTGCTATCCACCTGGATATGTGCTGTGCAGAATTGGCTGTTCCCTTGGCAGTACTGGACATGTTCTTCTTCCATTGAAGGTATGCTGTGCTGCCTCCTTAGGGAGGCATGTGGCTTAAGGTAGTAGGTGGGCAGATAAATGGGCTAATTCAGGTGAAAGTTGGAAATAATCTTTGGGAAAATCTTTGAATGGAATCTGAGAATAATCTTATCTGTAGAGAAGAGCATATATGGTGGGTCGGCCATCAGGGCAGTGATTTTGCTTATTCTTATTGCTGATGTGATTGCGACAAGGAAGGGAGATGGGTCGGAAATAGGAGGGAGCGTAGGCTATAATGGCAGAGAGAAAGGAGGTCAGGGCAAAACTGGGAGGCAAGGTCAAATCAGTATCTTAGATGCCTATCTACAAATGCGAGAAGTATGGGTAATAAGCAGGAAGAACTGGAAATGCTAATAAATAAGTACAATTATGACACTGTTAGCATCACAAAAACTTAGTGGGATAATACATGATTCGAATGTTTGTATAGAAGGGTACAGCTTGCTCAGGAAGGATAGACAAGGAAAAAGGGAGGAGGTGTTGCCTTATACATTAAAAATGAATACACTTGGAGTGAGGTGGAGATGGACATAGGAGACGGAAGTGTTGAGAGTCTCTGGGTTGGGCTAAAAGGAGTTAAAAACAAGGGTGATGTCATGCTTGGAGTCTATTACAGGTCACCTACGCAGGTGGAAGAAGTGGATGAGGCTTTTTTTAAACAACTAACAATATCATCCAAAGCCCAAGATTTGGTTGTGATGGGGGACTTCAACTATCCAGATATATGTTGGGAAAATAACGCAGCGGGGCACAGACTATCCAATAAGTTCTTGGACTACATTGGAGAAAACTTTTTATTTCAGAAGGTTGAAAAAGCTACCATGGGGGAAGCTGTTCGAGATTTGATCCTAACAAATAGGGAGGAACTGGTTGAGAATTTGAAAGTGGAAGGCAGCTTGGGTGAAAGCGATCATGAAATCATAGAGTTCACAATTCTAAGGAAGGATAGAAGGGAGAACAGCAAAATAGACACAATGGATTTCAGGAAGGTGGATTTTGGTAAGCTCAGAGAGCTGATAGGTAAGGTCCCATGGGAATCAAGACTGAGGGGAAAAACAACTGAGGAGAGTTGGCAGTTTTTCAAAGGGACATTATTAAGGGCCCAAAAACAAGCTATTCCACTGCGTCAGAAAGATAGAAAATATGGCAAAAGACCGCCTTGGCTTAGCCACGAGATCTTACATGATCTAAAAATAAAAAAGGAGTCATATAAAAAATGGAAAGTAGGACAAATTACAAAGGATGAATATAGGCAAACAACACAGGAATGCAGGGACAAGATTAGAAAGGCAAAGGCACAAAATAAGCTCGTAGAGGGGGCGGGGGAGTGCCGACTCCTCGCAGAACCCCTACTTTCACTTTGCGGAACCCCAGGGTTCTGAGGAGCACCAATTGGGAAACACTCATCTACAGCCTCTCTTTCATGACCAGCTTCCCAGCCATGATGAGCAGACCAGACCCTCCCGAATCTACATGCCATGGCTCCTTCTGCAACCCATATGCCTGTGTAAGTGCCTGAGGGCAGGAATGAATGTGTGTGAATGAGTGAATGAATGGAGGGGTGTGTGTTCTTCTTTGTGTGTGTGTGAGAGAGATAGCTGGTTCCCTCTTTAGTTTAAACCTTTGGTGGCAGCTCTATTTTTGTTGTGCATACAGTGGAGTGCTAATTCCTCAAACAATAAACCCATACTAGTGTAACCCTGGGTGGTCTCCAGTGGGAATTTTTGGGGGTAACAGTTATTTTGAAATAATGTCAGTTATTCCAAAATAACAGTGCTGTGTAGAAATACCACAGTAACCTCCAAGTAACCCCTAAGTAGACACTCCACCACCATATGCATGGGTTTGGAGGTTTTGTTGTTGTTGTTGTTGTGTTTGTTTTTGTCGTTTTTGTTGGGCAAACTGTTTGGTATAAAAGGTATGGGTCCCAAGTAGCCTGAACTCAATAATATTCAGGATATTCTGAAAAGCTTTTTTCACAGAAATTCAAAATTTGGGGGAAGAAATGTCACAGTGAGGAATTGTTACAGGGAGATTTAAGCTTTTGAATTCCTTCATTTGCTAGTGGTGGGCCATACTAAATCATACTGTTGCACTTTAGCAATGTTTCAGTATTTTATATATATTTATAGATAGGTTAGAAGATTTACAGTGTTGCTTGGGTCCTTCAGGACAGAGGTCTGGGAATGTGGGGGGTACAGCAGCCAGGGCAGAGGCTTGGGGATGTGGGGCCTCAGAGCAGGGGGCTGGAGGTCTAGGGGATGTAGGAGTCAGGGTGAAGGATGAATAGGGACTCAGGGCAGAGGGTGGGGTGCAGGAGTTAGAGCAGGGGGTGGGGGATTCTGAGAAGATATGTGGGGGGTGTAGGAGTCATGGTAAGAGGTTGGGTGTGGGGACTCAGAAGAGGGTGAGGATGTGGGGGTACAGAAGTCAGGGATGGGGTTTGGGAGATATGGGGGGCTCAGGGCAGGGTGTGAGTGTGCAGGAATCAGGGCACAGAGTGTGGGGGGGTTCTGGGCAGGAGGTGGAAGTGACCAGGGTTGCTCCTGAGGTTGGTCATGGTGGTGGGGGCTGTGTGCCCAGCTGGTGGCTGCTCCCCAGGCTGCTCCCCAGGGCTGCCGGGGGGTGGCAGAAGTCATACTGCCCAGCTGGCGGCTGCTCCCTGGGTCTGGGGTGCTTGCTGCCCTATGTATCTGGGGCATAACTGCCCCCTGAACTTGCTGCCCCCTTTGGTCATTCTGGAGTATAACTAGCCCTGGTATCAGACCCCCTCCCTTTCTGGCTGATGAGGAACAATCGGATTCCAGGCACATCCCATGGTTTTGGCACAACCAAACCCTTATCTTGCTTTAAGTTATGATAAGAGGAAGCTGCATACTAGTTTTACTGTTTAGGACAGGGGTGGCCAACCCGTGACTTGCGAGCCACATGCGGCTTTTCTCCCCCAAAAGTGCGGCTTGTGAAGCCGCTCCTGCGCTCTCCCCAAATCACCCCCGCCCTCAGGATCCCTCGTGCTCACCAGGGCGGCAATTCAAAACAGTACCCAAGATGGCAGCTGTCAACGGGAGCCTTATAAGGCCAAAAAGCCTAAGCTTGTCTCTTAAAGGGGCAACATCCTTTTTTTTTTCTCCTCGACAATTCTCTTTGCATTTTTTCTGCCGCTGTTTCGGTTCTCTTTGTTAAATGGGTTGGCCACCCCTGGTTTAGGAGTTCTTGACTAAATGGACTCACAGACAGACAGACACACAAGCTTTCTAAAATACATAGTGGAAGATATAAATTTCAGTTATGATCGGGGTCCTCATAACAAATGGATAGTTGTTTAGTGTATATACATATCTAAACACATACATAACTAATGAAACCATAATTTCCCTCATATTTGAACAACCTAAGATGTACAGGTTATGCATCCCCTGGAGTCATAAAAATGTGTTCCTGACTAACCTATCTCTGTGACTTCAGGATGACAAAAAAGCTGATGAAATGCCAACTTTTATTGCTTAGAACAAACAAAATAGTTTCTACTATTATATTATCAAAGAAGATTGAAGTACAAACACAAGTTATGGTTGTGTAAATTTTGATAATAAAGTTCATATAAATGTCTAAGAAAATTAAGTTTAGTACTTAATTGGCTTGTAAATTGCCTCTGTTCTCTTCAGTTAGGTACCCTAGAACAGAATGAAGTTCCTGTGGACAAACAAAAATGACATTTTTTTGTATAAGAGCAGATATCCCAACCCTAACATTATAATTATAGTCCTGATTTATTGCTAAACTTATTGTACCAGATTTTTAATCTACTATATATTTGAGAGCATCTGCCAGTCTATCCTTCCATCTGTCTGTGAGTCTCTGTTCAAGAACTCCTAAACAGTAAGAGCTAGGGCCAGCAAAGTTGGTATGCAGCTTCCTCTTATCATAATTTAAAGCAACATAATGATTTGTCAGGACAGGTGCAGGGACAATGGGATTTTCCTGGAATTCAATTGTTTCTCATAAAATGGAAAAGGAGGGCTCTGCTAAAAGGCACATTTATATTGCATAATAATCATAAGGGGGCAGCAAGGAGGCAGAGATAGGGACTGAGGCAGCTATAGCCCCATTGAGGCAGCAGAGGGTAGAGGACGGGAGTAACTATCTACTATATATTTGAGAGAGTTTGTCTGTGTGTTTGTCTGTCCCCCCAACCAGGGGACATGCACCCTCCCCCAGCAGTGCCCATTGCAGCTGCAGCAGCCATGGACATGTGCTTCTCACATGGCCCCCAGGATGCTGTGGTGACAGAGGGTTGGGGTTGTCCTTTCTCCCCAGGGAAGCTTGCATACTGAACTCCTCAACCACAGCCACACCCCAGAGTAATGATTTAAATGAAGAAAAACAAAAATTACGTTAGTTAAGGACCTCAGCAACACCGGGCAAATACTCTACTGTTGTTATATTGTAATATTGGCTTCAAGTCATAAATGAGAGTTTATACCTGGGTACAATTCTGCAATATTAAATAGTTGCAGATTTCCATTGGCTTTCATGGCTTTCAGGTGCTAGTGTACTTTGTTTTCTTCAAAATTTTTACTGAATTGAGATAAAACAGCACAAAAATAATCTATAAATAATACACAGATATTTTAATCATTTAAATTCGGGCCTAATTATGCAGCCTTCCTTGCTTTCTAATTGGCTAAATATCTAATGAGGTAGTGGGAGTTTAAAATGAAAAATAATTGAGTAAGGACTTCAGGATTTGATTCTTTGAGAAGACTTACAAAATGCATATGGAAATAATAATGTATCTTTGTAGCTTATATTTTACCTGTCTTCTTTTTCTTGCATTTCTAATTGGGTTTCCTTAGTGTGCCTTTTTTCTTCATATGTACCCAGAGCATCCAGTATTGATGTTTCTGAATCACTCTGCAATTTATCAAGATCATTTTGTAACCTTTCATCCTCACACTCCAATTCATGAACAGAAGCTATGTAACACTCATGTTCTGTGTCCGATAAAGCTGTGGTCTGTGGAAGAAAATAAAATCACCATTGAATGGGCATTTTGTCCACTGTAACTAGAATTAATATTTTTAACATGAAACACAAGTCAACATTGTTTGCTAGATACTTAGTTACTGCATGTCAAAGGGTTCTCAAATGTCATTGCACTATGACCCTGCTTCTGACAACAAAAATTACTTCATGGTCCCAGAAGAGGGGACTGAAGTCTGAACCCAACCAAGCCCCACCTCTTTAGGTGCAGGAGAGCAAAGTCAAACACTTCAGTGCCATGTGGGGAGCCTGTAACCTGAGCCCCCCAGGACTGATATAAGTTCTGGGTAAGGCTGTCAATTAGTGGGCGTTAATGCCTGTGATTAACGCAGAGCAGAATTAACGCGTTAAAAATATTAACGCACAAAAATCACAGAGGGCAGCAAAACAGCATTAGCTGCTCTCTCTGGTAAGGCGCAGTAATGCAAACTGCCACCAGAGGGTGCATGAAAAAAAGAAGCTGCCAGAAAGAAAAACAACAACTATGAAGTCCCAACTCCAACAGAGAAATAAACAAGAAGCAAAGACCCGGACACCCTTCCCTCTCCCCTCCCAGGTGACCATATTTTAAAAAATAAAACAGCCGCCCAAGCCAACCTCCTTCCCCCGCAGGGCTCAATCTCCCTTCCCAAACTCTGCACTGCCCATGGCAGTGTCTACCCCCCTCCTGCCCTGTGCCACCCACAACTGAGGCTTAGCTAAAAAAGGACTCTTTTGAATGGGACGCAAATACATTGATTATACAGAAGAATTTAAGTTCAGCTTTCATGATAGAATTTGCACTACAATACTTAGTGAGGTGAACTGAAGTTTTTTTTACAATGTAAATGTTTTGTAATAAAAAATAAATATAAAGTGAGCACTATATACTTTGTATTCTGTGATATAATTGAAATCAATATATAAGAAGATGTAGAAAACATCCAAAATATTTAAATAGATAGTATTCTAATTATTGTTTTACGGTGTGATTAATTATGTGATTAATCATTATTATTATTTTTTAATCACTTGACAGCCCTAGTTCTGGGCTTTGGCTGGCTTAGACTTTGGTTTCTGCCCAGAATGGTGGGGTATGGGCTTGTCTTTGGCACCAGAAAGCTAGCTTTGGGGAACCTATTAAAATAAGGTCATGACACATTTTGGGGTCCTGAGTCACAGTTAGAGAACTGCTGCCATATGTAATCACACAGCATTCATAGTTAAGGCTAGGATTGTGTCATGGAAGCCCTGATCTGCCCCTGAATTTTACTAAAAATATCTGGGACAAAATGGGGATCTGCGAGTCCCCACACTGCCTGCAATGGGGCAGCTGCGCAGGGGCTAGGATCTACCTGCAGCAGCTGGGGTCTGTGGGTTACCTCTGCTATCTGCAGATCTGGCAGTTCTCCAGCTGCCCATGGGGGACAGAAGCAGTTGGGTGCCCCCACCTCCTCTGTCAGCCAGGAGCTGTGAGATACTCCTGCCACCAAAACCTCCAGCAACCTACAGACACTGAGAGCTTAGGGGTTCCCCTAAGTCCACGGCATCAGAAGCTGTGGGAAATCTCTGCTATCTGCAGGGGTTGGGAGCTGCAAGGTAACCTTGCTTTCATAGCCGCAGAGGCCCATAGCATCTGGGACATTGGGGGTTCCCCCGCAACAGCCGGGAGTTTAGGGATTACCCAGCTGCCCGTGGCAGCTGCAGGTTTGGGGTTTACCATGCTGCCCTGGGCCTTTAGGAGCTTTAGGTGTCCTTTTTTATAGTTTTCAATATTTTCAACCTCCATTAACTTCCACAGACACTGAGGAAGCTCAGAATCCTACCAAAGGTGTTTAGTTCATCGAAGAATTGGACTCTTATTTAACACAAATGAAAATCCATGATGGAAACATTTCAAAATAAGCATCTTTTTATGCATAATTCATCATAATCATGGTAATTAAAGTTGCAAATAATGTTTGTTTTCTGCTAATGAATAAATTCATCTAGTTCTTAAAGGGGGTAAGGCCTATAAATACCACGGATAAATGTATAAAATAAGTGTGTGCATGAGAAACAAATTTATTACTAGAAGATTTACCTGGCATTGCTTGGGTTCTTAACTCAAATATTTTTTGTTTTTCCACATTTAAATCATTGCTCTGGGGTAGAGCTGTGGATGAGGGGTTCAGTATGCAGGCTACTCCGGGGAGAGATGACAACCCCACTGCAGCACCGCAGGCGCTTCGTGCCAAGTGAGGAGCAACTGTCCATGGCAGCTGCAGCTGGCACAGCCAAGAGAGGGTGCCTGTCCCCTGGCTGGGAGACAGACAAACACACAGACAGACAAAAACAGGCGCACACTCTCTAGTTCTTTTTTGAATCCTGTACTTGGCTTTCACATGATTCTCTGTCAAGGAGTCCTACAGGCTGACTATGCATTGTGTGAAGAATCACTTTGTTTGTATTAAATTGCCTATTAATTTCATTTTGTGACCCCTTGATCTTGTGTTATGAGAAAGTGGGAATCACAGAATACTAGAACTGGAAGAGACCTCGAGAGATCAAGTCCAGTCCCCTGCCCACATGGCAAGACCAACCACCGTCTAGATCATCCCTGATAGATATCTATCCAAACTGCTCTTAAATATCTCCAGTGATGGAGATTCCACAACCTCCCTAGGCAATTTATTCCAATATGTAACCACCCTGACAATCAGGAAGATTTTCCTAATGTCCAGACTAAACCTCCCTTGCTGCAGTTTAAGCCCATATATTCTTGTTCTATCATTAGAGGCCAAGAACAATTTTTCCTCCCTCCTCCTTGTGACACCCTGAAAATTGCTATCATCAGGGCTCACCGAACCGCGGCGAGCCCCGCTTGCCAGCCGTGCTGTCCGGCGATCTGCGCATGTGCAGATAGTTCTGTGCATGTGCAGATTGCCTGAACCCGTTTCCCCCTTTTGCTATATCATTTATAAATATGTTGAATAAGACTCTTCCCCAAACAGAATCCCAGGGGATTCTCCATTCTGAAAACTGACCTTCTATACCTACCCTTTGTTTCCTATATGTTAACAAATTTCCAGTCCATGAAAGGACTTCCCCCTTATCTCAAGACAACTTATTTTGGATAAGAGCTTTTGTGAGGGAGCTTGTCAAAGGCTTTCTGAAAATCTAAGGATCCTATATCCACTGAATCCGCCTAGCCCACATGCTTAATGACCTTTTTTTTTAAAATGAATTCTAGTAGATTAGTGAGGCATGATTTCCCTTTACAAAAACCATATTCACTCTTCCCCCTACAAATCACGTTCATCTATATGTTTAACAATATTGTTCTCTATGGTAGTTTCAACTGGTTTGCCTGGCACTGGAGTCATACTAACCAGCCTGCAATTGCTGGTATCACCTCTGGAGTGTTTTTTAAAATTGGCGTCACATTAGCTATCTTCCAGTCATTTGGTATAGAAGCTGATTTAAAGTGCAGGTTACAAACTAGGGTTGGGAGTTCTGCAATTTCATAACTGAGTTCCTTCAGAACTCTTGGATAAATACCATATGGTTCTGGTGACTTATTGCTGTTTAGTTTACCAATATGTTCCAAAAAACCTCATCTTATCACACCTCACAGTTGCTCAGATTTGTCACCTAAAAAGAATGGCTCAGGTTTGGAAATCTCCCTCACATTTTCAGCTAATGCAAAGAATTAATTTCATTTCTCTGCAGTGACTTTATCATCTTTGAGTGTTCCTTTAGCATCTTGATTGTCCAGTGGTCCAACTGTTTGTTTAGCAGGCTTTGTGCTTCTGATGTTCTTTAAAAAATTGCTATTACTTTGAGTTTTTGGCAATCTGTTCTTCAAATTCTTTTTCTGGTCCTTGTAATTATATTTTTATACTCCATTTGTCAGAGTTTATGCTTCTTTCTATTTTCCTTACTAGGATTTAACTTTCACTTTTAAAAAGATGCCTTTTTGTCTCTAGTGGCTTCTTTTACTTTGTTGTTGAGCCACAGTGCCACTTTTTTGTTCTCTTTTTATGTTTTTAAATTTGGAGTACACAGTTCAGTTGAGCCTCGAGTATGGTGTCTTTAAAAAGTTTCTATGAAGCTTGCAAATATTTCACTTTTGGCACAGTGCCTTTTAATTTCTGTTTAAATAACTTCCTAACTTTTGTATAGTTTCCTTTCCCAAATTAAATGTTACTGTGTTACCAGTGTCAAAATAAAAAATCTTTGTTATGCATTTTCTGAAAAATGCTTACAGTCTAAAATTAATAATAACTTGACATATTCTGGAGGATATGTTTTAATTGCTAAAAAGAGGGATTAACTGCTTGCTGTAAAGTCAAGAACCTTACTACTAACTACTGTCTCTTTATTCCTAAATTGATAATGGAAACAATCAAAATAGTGTCTTTCAAGTGCATAAAGATTTATAAAATTACCTGTGGCTCAGACCTTTGTAACTTCTAATCAGACAAGGTCCTAATCTATATTCACAACTGTAAAAATATATTTATGTAAGATGGGGTATGTCTACACTACAAAGTTAATTCGAACTAATAGCCGTTAGTTCGAATTAACTTTCATAGGCGCTACACATACAAACCGCTAGTTCAAACTTAATTTGAACTAGCGGAGCGCTTAATTCGAACTAGGTAAACCTCATTCTAGGAGGACTAACGCCTAGTTCGAATTAAGTAGTTCGAATTAAGGGCTGAGTAGCCACTTAATTCGAACTAGTGGAAGGCTAGCTCTTCCCAGCTTGCCCTGGTGGCCACTCTGGGCCAATCCAGGGAAACTCTTCTGCCCCCCTCCCGGTCCCAGAGTCCTTAAAGGACCACGGTCTGGCTACGGTGCCCATGCCAGGTGCAAGCCTGCCAGCATCCAGCCAGCAGACCCTGAACCTGGCACGGCATGAGCCAGCCACCCGCTGCCACGCGGACGGCTCCCAGGAGCTTGCCCAGGGCCATAAGAGGCGGGTGCCCGCCTGGTCTAGTGTGGAGATC